GGGGGGGGATTTGAGCTGGTTGGGTGGCAGGAGAGGCACAGGCTGGAAACTTCTTGCGAGGTCGATAAAGAGGTCTTTAAGGAGATCTGTAGGGTTTTTTTCCATGCTTTAAAAAAAAAAAAAAAAAAAACAACCAAAAAACTCAAACCCAAACTCATTATCTTTACTGGCTGTTTGGATGGAGCCTCCTGGAAGCACATTTAGTAACGAACATGAAACGTACCTTTGAGAAAACAGTCACTACATTGATTTCTGCTTGCAAACCCTCAGCGAACTGAAACCCCAACCAGTCCCCAGGGGTTCACATCCTGGGCAAACTCCAGCTCCCAGGACAAAAAACGCATTGAAATGTGTAAACTCCTTTTCCACATCATCTGCATTCTTGGTCCGTTTTCTACCTGGACCCTCAAGTGTGTAATGCTGTATTTAACCCATTAACAGGGCCCATGAATTCACTCTGGTGGATTGCATGGTAGTGCAACCACATAGGCATTTATAGTTAGCAGCTGTGGAGCAACTTTTAAAGTAGTAAGTTTTATGACTTACATTTTCTGGGGTACATGAAAAACCATGCATGGAAAGAACAAAACTGTGAAGCTGCTGATCAGTTTAAGAATCAAACTTCAGAGCATTAAAGCATGCTAATATATAAACTTCTCTTTCTGTTTGCATCAGATTAGGGTTTAAATAAATATTTGAAACATGGTGGTGCACATGTGAATTAACTTGCTCCATAAGTGCATTCGGTATCCTTGGATTTACTTTGGAAGAAGTTTTGTACTGGGCTCCAGCCACACGCCAGTCCCTGTCAAGGAGAGCCTTGTTTGAATCCCAGCAACCAGAGCAGAGGTTCCCTGGTGAGATGCACCTCTGCACGTAGGAATCATTCAGATAATCAGAAAGAAAGTAGAGGGTTTTACACCAAAAAGACAGGACACGTTGCTGACCTCCAGCACTGTAAGAGCCATCTGCTCCTCCAGGCTGTTGAAAAGGGAGAGGGGCCTGAACCAGGTCAGTGTGCAGGGAATGGGTACAGTGCACTGAGCTCTGGGGGGGCACCTGCAGAGTACAGGACAAAGTTTCCTTTTTATTGGTTGCTCATGTCATCTAAATTCTGGTTTGCAAGATGTGTCACATTCATAGCTGTCATTAAGCTTCTAAGTTGATCTCCAGGTAAGGACTCTGGGAAAGTTTGGAGTTATTTTTCCAAGCTGCCTTCAAACTCAGAAAGCTACACTTGACTTGCAAATGTAAAATTTATACCTAGGGTAATTAAAAAAAAATAAATCATGCAATTAAAAATTTATTTTTAATCTTTAAATTCTTCCATAACTGACAGTCTCAACAATAGCTCCCTATCAGGGGCGACCATGTACATTGGTCTGGTTTTATGGACCATGTTCAACAGGAGTCCCAGACAGCAGAGAATATGGGACTGAATCTGTGTAACTGAGGAACCATAAATCTTCAGCACCTTAGACTCTCCTGAGCGAAGGTGAGGGAAGAAGAAATTTGTCTCTAGCTGTCAGTATAAATGTTTCATTAAAATGCTGTAAGGCTTTTTAAAGACCAAAAGTAAACTGCTTGTGCAGCACTTTTAGCTGAGCTGCACAAGAGAATTGCAAAAACCCCTCCACGAATTGTGGTTCTCCAGTAAATACAAACCACGCTGCAGCTTTCCCCTTTGAAAACAGGATAACAGCAAATACGCTGACAAGGGAAACAGGAGACTATACAACTTCACATCCAATTTAAACAAAGTTCACAACCATTACAAGCTGGGAAGCATGTCCATATTCAAGAGAAACCTGTTTTCTTGTGCCTCAGCAGAACATCCCAAAAGATAAATAGGGGTTGGCCTCCTTTGGAGCAGGGTGTTCACTCTTGCTCTCCTTTGGGAATTGTGCCAACATATGGAGCGATTCCTAAAACATGACCTAGAAAAAGGGTTGTAAGTTGGAATGGGCCTGGATGTGGGTTCACTTCACACTGTTTTTTAAGTAAAACTGAATAGTTCCTGGAGGATGGACCTCAGGAGGTCTGTAATCCTAACTGCTGCTCAGAGCAGGACAGCTGTGGGTTCAGAGCTGGTTGCTGTGGGCTTTATCCAGTTGCACCTTGAGAACTTCCAGGAATGCAGACTGCACAAGCTCTCTTGGCAACCTGCCCCACTGCTGTCCTACCCCACTGGTGAGGTGTTGCAGTAGTGTGGTGATGGTTGTTGAAAGGGTTATCAAATGCCTACAGAAATAAAATTTAGGAGCTGAAGAGGGGTATGACAGTCAGATGGACCCATTGCCTGATGCAGAGCAAGGCAATAAGCAACTACTGACATGTGCTACTGCCCTTTTATTGATTCCAGGTGTACAATGTTCACTATACAATGAGCATTAATGGAAAAATACAAGATGGATCAATGGAAATAGATGCTGCAAACAACTTGGAGACATTCAAAACAGGAAGCGGGAGTGAGGAGGCTGTTGAAGTTCATGATTTTCAGATTGTAAGTACCATCACCCTTGGCCTTCATGTAACACACTCCAGTGCTGGACTCCAGGGAGACCCTGCCCTGCCCGACTTCTCTGCCCCAGTAAGTCTCAGGTTCCAGCCTCCAGCTGTCCACATAAACACCCTTGCTCTCTCAGCTTGCTTTCACAATGAGACAGGCAGCTTCCCCCAAAACAAAGTCTGAGTGCCTTTTGGGGATAGGCTGCGCCAGCTCCCACTCCAGGAAGCAGTATGGATTAGCCTGCCTCAGGTTTGGCTCCCAGTAACACTTTGCAGTTTCAAACCATTGAACAGAACTGCAGCATGTGCCCTTGGGGTCTCGCTAGGAAAACGTTCTAGCAGGTTACGATGCAGCCCTTGCGTGATTTTATATGATTTAAACTGGAAAACCCACCTCCACCTCCCCAAAACATCACCATTTTAAGAGCATAGGGCCAACGCAATAAGCCAAGTATACGCCGAGGAGAGACCACTGCCTGCTGGACCCAGGCAGCTTGCTCTGCCCTGATATCAAGCATGGGAGCTGATCTCCATGGCTCGGCCTGGGTTCATCCCCAGACGGGAGGATGGAGGCATTGAGGATAGGTTATGCATCTGTGCACCAAATGCCCAGGGCTGGGCCACTTGGGCTGGCAGCAAACACACTTGGGTAACCCAGCAACTTGGCTGTGACTGCTTAGCACAGAGACTGAAACTCAGCAGAGCTCAGCAGCTTGGTTAGAGTGGTTCACTGAGCTGTACCACCTTGGAGCTACTAAAGGCACATCCATGCAAAGTTGCAGAAACCTACTTACAGAGCTCAGATCCCACAATTAACATTATTCGTGCAAATTAACATTTGTCCAAAGTGCTCAACTTCAGAGCTAACTCCTCTGTAAGTCAAAGAAGCACCTAAAGGTGTTGCTGTCAGGAAAACTTGCCCAGGGCTTCTGCAGCAGCCACCTTTCCCTTGTTGAATCTAGAAATTCAGCTCCTTGGCTTCTCAAGGAAATACAAACAAATCCATGCCAGGAAACCCAGGACCCCACCTTTCCTGACAACTGTGGTTCAGCCTTTATGAAACTCTCACTAATATCACCATAGCAACTTCATTAGCAGCTGAATAAGAGCACCCACAATGAGCTCTTCTTGTTTGCCTTCACCATGCCACATCTGCACAAAACCACCAGCCCACTGGAGAGATACTGACTTCTCATTGCCTCCAGGTGTGCTGCTGGTCAGCTACTGCCTGTCACAGCTGGGTCAGAAATTGGCCCCCAACACCAACCAGCTAAAGGCACCTCCCAAGGGATGGTGCCCACTTGTCACAACAGAGGGCCAGGGCCAGGCTCAGCAAGAGCAAAGCGATGCTGCCAGTTGGGTTTTCAGCCAGCAACACACATGAAAGAGAAAGAAATTGATGAGATGTACTTCCAACAGCCAAGTATTTACATTAGCAACTTTGGATTGACTGGCTTCTCTCCAACAATTGCATGGTTGGTGAAGACTTGGATTTGGCAATTCCTAGGACACTCAGTGCACCACGAAGTCTCATTCCCTTCTGCACTCCTCTCTGCACAGCCATCCCCTCTCTCACTGCTTCAGAATCGTCATGTTGTTTTGATGGGTGTCTGCCCAACTGCACAGGATTTGCAGGCACATAGGATGAGAGTCTGGTGCCTCAGTACTGTCCATCTCAAACTGTACTAGATGTCTGTGGTATCCATGATGCCCATTTAGGACAGGTGAGAGGGGTCATGAGGACACCCAAGGCCTGGCAACTGACTGCTAGGCAGAAAACCAGTATCTCTCAAACAGCACAAAATCTTTATTTAGGAGGTCAAATGGAGCTCACACAACCCTATGAAAGCCATGCAAACTTTGCAGTGTACAACAAGCTATCTAAAGTCATAATGTAGAATAGAACACTTCCATGGGTATTCGAGACACCTACAGCAGAAACACAGAATATATAGACAAGCAAGGTTCACCTGACCAAGGTGCTAGTACACAGCTGGCAGATACAACCCCAGACTTGGAGGAGACCTGCAGCCCTCTGGAGCTGCCAGGATACCCATCTCTTGCTTACAGCTAGACATCCATGGTTTAGGCAACTGCATTTCAGCCTCGTAGGCCAGATAAAGGAAGTCCCACACAGAGATTTCTGCACCAAATTGCCTGTCACGAGCTTCCCCTTGCTGTCACAGCCACTTACATGTACAAATTGAAACAAGCTGCCCCCATGTTTTTGCAAATCCGTGTCATATGGGTACTGGCACCACCAGCTAACACCATTTCAAGTCTGCCCACGTTAGGTGCTAAGTTACAGTTCAAATTGTGTCAACTAATTCCTTAACAGAGCTACTCCAAGCAGTCTACAGTGCACTTGGAAGCACTTACATAAAACACCTCCATCTTTCAGAAACTGAGCAAAAACTTCCAGACCCATTTAAATGACCAAAATCATAAAGCTAAAACGATGAGGGAAGAGTGTTTCATTGCATCTGGTTTTAAGTAAGATTTTACTTCAGACTAAAAAACTCAGTGGCAGTTTTAGCAGAGCTTGAGTGCTTTCCTGGGGTCAGTGGGGGGCTGGAGGGCTGCACACAACCCTCTGCCTTCTGCATTTTCAGGGCATAACTGGAATCCGTTTTGCTGAAGGGGAAAAGTGTTACATCAAAGCTCAGCCAAAAGCTCACGTTCCTGAAGTTGATGTTATGACTAAAGCGAGTCTCTCATCTGAGCTGGTAAGGGGTAATTTCTTTTATTTTCGTTTGTTTTTTGCCAAACCAAATCTTTGTATAGAGAGGGTCTCCAAGAAATATTTAAATATAAATAAAAACATTTGAAAAACACTGTGGATAGTGATGACAGGGTCATTGAGGGTACTTTAGGGCAGGATAGCTAAGGGTTCATTGACTGCAAGGGGCCCCTGAAGAGTAAGAGCAAGATTGGGTCAGAGGTGTCATTGTGTCCAGAGGTATCAGAAGAGGTTGCAGACTGGAGAGGAGGGGGAAGCCCCAGACCAATGCCTAGTAAATCCATAGGAGACCTCAGTGACAAGAGTATCTGCTTGAGATCAGGCCATGCACAAGGCTGGATGGGAGAGCGTGGAGGAAACAGCTGCTTTAGTAAATGCAAAGAGGGATTGTGGCAGATCCCAGCACATTTCTATCACCACTCTTGAGCAGAAGCAGGGACTCCATCACTCAAGTCCTCCAAAATGATCAGTAAAGGGGAATTGTGGAAAAATGACTGCAAAATTTCAGCTAACTCAGAAGAAATAATGTTTTTTAAAAATTAAGAATTTGCCTTCTTAGATAACAACAGAATTCATTTTAGGACATTGTGTTGACTAGATTTAATGGAAACTGCATTGCAACCACCACAAAAGCTGCAGTTCTTGCCCAGATACCACCAACCCTCCCCCTTCCCTCACATTTGTAAAACGGCCTGTCAATTTTGGTGTGCAAAGCCTGAGTTTCCCAGAGCTCAGACCTCCAAACACATCATTCACAAAGGAGTGGCTCTGGTGAGTTGATCGTGGCTGAGCCTGGATGCTGGCAGAGGCTCAGCTGCTGACAGGAGAGCACAGGAGATCCCTTTCCTTGGGTTTGCTCCACTCCCGAGAAAATAAAAGCAGGGAGAGAGGTTCCATTAAGGCTGCACCTTTCTGCAATAGTGCTGAGATTGCAGAACATCTGCTTTAAAATGAAGGGGAAAAAAAGGTCTAAATGAAGTCAGCAAGGCACCAGTAATGTTACAAAGTCCCCGGAAGCTGGTGGGATTTTCCCTATAGAATTATTTGGTTGGGAAAGACCTTTTAAGATCATCAAGTCCAAGTGTTAACCTAGTGCACTGCCAAGTCTACCACTAAACCATGTCCCTAAGCACATCTACGCATCTTTTAAATATCTATAGGGATGGGGAAGAGATCTTGCCTAAATTACAGACAGAGACCTAGATCTTTCCCACCTTGCTTTATTTTAAAGGCAGGCTGATATTCTTGACTTCACTAGCACTGGTGCCTGAAGACAAGGTTTCAATTTTTCATCTTTTCATAAGAATAAAGTCAAAGTCCCAAAGAAATAATCCTAAAATAGCCAAGAAGTTATTTGTAATATTCTACATGTCTACAGTAAACATCTTTCCTTGTCCTGTTCTCCATGCATCTTCTCCAAAGATGCACCCCCAACACAACTGCCGCAATAAATTAAATGCACTAAGGCCAAAACGAGCAGCTGACAGTGCTACTGTTGGGATATTAACCTTTCCCTGTTGCCCAGTTTTCCAGGTTAGAGGTACGATGGGAATGGCAGAGCAGTAATTTATTTTTCTAGAGCAAGTCCCTCTCTGATACACATGTATGTAGGAGAAAGCATGCATGTCCTTTTCTTACAGATCATATTGTAACCAACACGGCCTATAAAAATGGCTGATTAAAAGAAGCTTTTCTAGATACCCAAACTCTTGACTGCTGCTCACAAGTTGGGATCATCTAAACAGAAACAAAGGATATTTTTATTTCTGAAAACTATATTCAGATATTCCTGATGCAAATAAAAGCTTAAGTGGGAGAATGTAACTAAAGAGCACTTCTCACTAGACAGACTGGAGTGCAAACTTAAATGACTTGAGACCTACAAAAGAAATAAACACATTAAAGGAACAACAACTCAATGGAATAAATTGATCTAGTCAGTTATGTAACAAGTTTCAATGACTTTTATGGAAGCAATTTAGAATTTTAACTTTGAAATCATACTGGTTTTCATGATTCAAAAGTTGCTCTTCTTTTAATATTTTGCTATTGCTATAAAATACTTACACATTTTATGTAAAATAATACTTTGAACTAACAACTTTCAAGAATCAGTCACTAGCATTTTCCTACATTACTTTGAAGATATGAACCAAAAACCTGCAGGGTACACTTCAAAAAGGCAGGCTCCTTCAACTCACACTTCAAGCTTTTGGTCAATTGAATTGCTTTTACCACACGAGACCTTTAATCAGACTGATCACATTGATTTAACACTGGAAGGCGGAGGAGTTCTCAAGCTATAATCCTCTCTAAAGCTTCAGAACAAGATTCTCTCCTCCAGCCCCCATCCCACTGTAAATAGAGACGTTATCTTGGAAGTACATCAAATGAGAATGGGGCATGATAAAAATTAAGGTCTTGTTTGTAGCTGGCATATTTCATTGCCATTTTGCTGATGGTTGTAAATCTTCACAGCTTCCACCACCTGCAAATTGGGCACTTTGGGCTGATCTCTGACACCTAGTCCTTGTACATGTGGCAAAAACCTTCCGAGAGAGAGACAGGTGAAATCTTAGCCCCAGCAAAGCTGACAGTAGTTTTGCCATTCAATTCAGTGGTGGTAACCTTTGTACTGAGCCCAAAGCCTAAGCAATCTGTTCACATTCATGAAATATAAGGATGCTGGGTATTAGCTGCAGCCTGTGATGATACAGTTTGATGCTCAAGAATTAACAGCAAGCAGGGATGACTGCTCATGAGCAGCAAAGCATTTATGCTCTTCTATTTGCAGGAAGATGAAATCATGCCTGTGAGATTTGACGAAAACTCCCTTATCTGGGTGGCTGCAGATGAGCCTATCAAGCATAACAGTTTCCTAAGCCCCAAAATTTTAGAGCTCTGTGGGGATCTTCCAATTTTCTGGCTGCGACCAACATATCCCAAAGGTAACACTTCTTTAAAAGTATGTTATACCTCCTGCCATCTAAATGCCCTCCCCAGATCAGGTTTGCCACCAAGATTTGCACATCTGGGAAACCAGGGTCCTTTCCTCCCTTGCCCAGCCTGTCTTCCCAAGCCATTATGGGTTGGTGCTGAGACTGTAGATTTAGAGTTTATCTGCATTTACTAGACATTATCCATACTTGTATTTCCTTAGACAATACATACAATCCATGTGGGTGACTTACTGAGATGAAACATTCCCAGAGAGGTCAGCCTCCTTCTACAGAAGGCTTAAACTAGGCCCCAGAATGTTTAGGTAGCTGACACCAAGTAGCAGGGACACTATACCTGATCAAGATTAATGATTAATTGGGGAATATCAAGCTCCTGATTTGGGACCATAGCCTGTCCCATTTCCTACTGTGCTTCTCCAGATGATTTCAGTGGAGTGGAAGGATGAGGTGCTTTACCTCTGCAACTGGTGAATGAAGTTTGTGAGGTCCTGGGGGCAATCCCTGGATTGAAGTACAAAAGCAAAGGTGTTCTGGAGACACCAGAGAGACAGCAACTTCTCCAGGTGACTTCCAGGCCTGGGAGGAAAGTAGAGGGTTGGAAAGATTTACTCTTCCTTGGTCCAATTAATATTAGAATGCTCAAAGAGGGAGAGGGGAAAGAAAAAGAAAAAAAACAAAAAAAGAAAAATAAAAAAGGAATTAGCATTGTAGAGCACCTGTGGATCCAAACTGCCAATATTTTCCACTTTTTTCATGATCTTGCATATCTTACTGGACAACAAAGGAGCAACATGAAAGCTGTCCAGAATCTGTTTCACCAGGTTCACCAGCTGCCCCTGGGAGAGGGCACCAGGTTTGTCCCAAAAACACTTAAATAAAGAGATGTATGACTGGTCTTGCTAGTGCTGGCAACTGCTGCTGAGTTAACATTAGTGACAACACAGTGGGTCAAAAAGCACCTTCTCACACCAATTTTGCTTCAATGGGAGGAAGGTTGGGGGAAGGCAATCTCACACCCCTTTGGATGGACACTGGCTGCAGATACAGTACAGGAAGGTGAGCAGCTCCCATGGGGATGCTCATCAAGTTTGCTACCAGATGGTTTAATCTTTCCCTCTGCCCTTCACCGCCCCCTCTTTCTTTTTGATATTTAAAGAAACCACTGAAACCTTAGATAATGGTTGCACTGAAGGAGGGTTATCCTCCCATGATTATTTCTTCAGATATCCAAAGGAGAGAAATGAAGAGAAACAAACGCCAGACAGAATCAAACTTTGATACAGAAGACATGGAAGCTGCTGCTGAAGTGAACACCAGATTGTCCACCATGCAGCTGACTCAAGAGCTTGATCACCAATCTAATGAAACCAGGCCAATGGCACAAGATACGGATCAAACACTTAATCCAGACAACCCATATAATGTAAGTATTTGCTCTGTAACCTTCTTTCAGAGCCCAAGACTGTTGTAGATAGGTAGTAATGGTGATGTGGGGCTCATATTTTTTTTTTTTCTGTTAAATTTGTGCAGTCTTTGCCTATTCAGTTTTTCTCTGAAATTACAGACTTGTAAAACACCTAAGAAGCTCAAAAAGCTCTTCCCTCAGCCTCCTCCTTCCTCCCTCATTCCAGTTTTCAGTAGACTTTAGTCTGAAACAAGCATGAGTGCTTGAGGCCAAAAGGTTAAGGCAGGTTGATGCTGAGTTGCTTTTCAGGTCTTCCAGGTTCATATGGAAGCAGCACAAGTGAGATCTGACAAGGATGGCATCTTCTGAAAAACTATAGCTGGTCTTGGTCAGACAGCTGAAACCCATCATTTACTGATAATGTAAAGGGAGAGTCCACTAGCTAGAAACATACCTTGCCATCAAATAGAAATCAGTATCAGAAGTGACTACTTCAGAAGAAAGCAGCAGTGAGATAAGGGTGAGGCCAAATAAATCTATTTTCTCAGCCTTTTTGCTGTCAGGGTGAATAGCCCTAGTCTAGCAAGCAATTCACAGAGGAGAACCTGTTTAGAGAGGCAGCAGGAGGTGGAGGTTGAATATGGCAAAACGTGTTCTCACTCTTGGAGATGAAGCAGCCCACAGACAGAGCCTAGGAGCTCCCCTCCTGTGTCCCAACACCTTTGCTGCACTGTGGGAATACTGACTGTACAGTAGGCACCTTCCAGTCTACTGCACCAGCGCCAGACAATTTACACCCACCATTTGGTGCAGCAGGAGTAAGTCATTTTAATACAGCACTGTCACAAGATAAATGCCTCCTGCTTTGGAAGTAAGTTCCAGCTTTGACTTGACATTTATGCAACAGCAGGAGATCATTATACTGTGACAGCGTTCTGCTGAGTTGACATCCCTTAATTAAAGTTAAATTAATCACTCCAAATAAAGTGGATCTCAATCGACTCTCTCACGAGGTCAGTGAAACAGCAGCAGCACTGGAATGTGACTTCTCCTCACAGCTACTAACTGACCACATCCATGGGATCTGAGCTGCCCTGTCTCCCAGAGGGCAGTGACACAACACAGGGCAGTGGCACAACTGCCACAGGTCCCTTCTTCCAGCCAGAGTGTCCCTGGGTCAAACAGAGAACACCCAGTCAGATTCAGTCACTAGACTTGGTGACCCAGGCTGTCTGGGGAAGTGGTTGAACCACCATCCCTGGAGACATCTAAAAAGACAGATGTGGTGCCAAGGGACAGGATTTAGTGGTGGATGTGGCAGAGTTAGGGTAGTGGTTGGACTTTATGATCTGGAAGGTCTTTTCCAACCAGACTGATACTGTGATACTTCCCTCAGGCTGCAGGGCAGGATTTGCCTTCACGGAGTTGTTGTATAGATGCTACATCCAAGCTTTGTTTAGAGATCAATTCATTTGATTCAAAAGGACCATTACACTGTAGGTCCTTCATGTAGGATAAAATGAATCTTCTTTAGAGCTGTTTCTCTTCACCCACTGTAAGTGGAGTCTGGACCATCAGCTCAGGTGTAGAAGCTCACATTGCAGGTGTCTGAATTTAAGGGAGAATCCTGCCTAAGGAATCAACACCCTCCTTCTCTCAGGGCTAGGAATGGGTCACAGGGAGCCCAAACAACACTGAGCTGTCATTAGTGACCTGTACAAGTCCAGATAAGTGACAGGACTTTTCTGTGACTCACCTCTTTGACAGGCTGCAAGTTTCAGGAATGAAAAACGTTCATCTAAGTGTTATTTCTGGCATTTGCTCTGCTTCTGCTTTTCTTGAAGTAACACAAATGGGCAAAGGACAAATCAGTTTCAAAAAGCAGAATATCCAGGTTCCTTTTTTTTTTCCCCCAGAAAAGAGGAAATATTTTGACAGGTGAAGGCAGTAGCAAGAGCCTGCTTTTACATATTTTATGCATGCCTTGCTCCGTGTTACTCCTTACTGTCAGATGCAAAACAGGCAGGATTCCCACTGTCCACAATGCCCCTAAGTGTGGCAGAGGTGGGGAAACAGACTGAAATACAAGGAAGAAATACTCAAGACAACTGCAAGGTTACTGGGAATGCTGTAAAAAGCATAAAAATACAAAAATTAAACCAAACCACTAAAAACACAGCATACATGTCAGACATCATCATCTATATAGAAAGACCCAGATAAATGTCTTGAAATCTTCTCCATTACTAATATTAAAACTTGGGAGTTTATTACTGCTGGATGTCTTGCAAGGACTGCAGAAGAAAGATCATTACCTTAGAACTCCTTGTTTCTCTCCGTTTTATACAGGTGATTGTGCCGCTTCTATACTTCTACCAAATAGAGCAAGGCAAAACAAAAGAAGATGAAACAATGAAGCAAAATGCAGGGTCAGTTAGTGTGAGTTCTGTTAACATCAGCAGGACTGAGATTTCGGATTCTACCCATTATAGGGTTAATAAGTGTATTCTAAATTCTCTCAGAATGAGAGCACTGGGATGACATTTAATATTTTACATTTCAGCAACTGGAAGGTGAAGGGATGACTTTTGACCCCATGCTGGATCACCTAGGTGTGTGCTGCATTGAATGCAGACGAAGTTACACGCAGTGCCAGAGAATTTGTGAGCCTCTCCTGGGCTACTACCCATGGCCTTACAACTACCAAGGCTGTCGTACTGCCTGCAGAATCATCATGCCCTGCAGCTGGTGGGTTGCTCGTATCATGGGGGTTGTGTGAGAAAAAGCCATCAGAGCCTTGACAAAGCAAGCAGGAATGCAACGACGACAAACTGGTAAAAAAAGACTACAGCCAAAGCAGCAGTAGCAGCCCTGGATTTTAAAATCAAAGTGTGTGCTGCTGCACCAAAAGCAAGGCCAGATATTCTAACGGTAAATAAACATCTCAAGTTAATATCCCATTAGCTTTGCAAATGACGAGGGCATACTAACACTGAATTCAAAACCTAAGACATCTCAAAGAAAGACAATCCTAGACTTTGCTGACAAACTGGTTTAGCAGTCCAGAAGCTTGCTCATAAATCCAAATTCAGCCTTTCATAACAAAACACTCTCTTTCCAAGCTACATGTGAAAATTTACGTCCAATTAGGCAACGAGCTCGCCTCGTACGCTTGGAAGTACCTTTCATCCATGTAGCTTACTTAAATAAATCTCAAGTTAAGTTGCTCCCCGTTGCTATTCATACCGAGTTGCTAGGTCATTATGAATGGTTATAAACCAATTACAGCATACCTTTCCCACAAAGCTGCTCCAGGGGACACGGGAAAGCTCACATTGTGCTAAATCGGAAACAAACGGCAGGAAAAGGGTCTGCGGAAGGGAACTCGCGTAGCGCGGAATCAAAACCCTCTGCACATCCCAACATCAAAGAGGCCCCAGCATCTTGTATCCATGATACCACTGTAGTGTCTAACAAGTATCTGCTATCCAGCTACTACAGCAGAAGTATTTACATGCAGTTGCAGACCAAAGAGTCTCGAGATTCTTCAGAATCCACAGCAGCCACTGTATTTATAAATCCTTGAACTAGACACTTTTGACACAAGATTACAACCCCTCTTTATTCCACATGGAGAGCAGCCATTCATGCTAGCTCTTCTAGCTTTTCTGAAGTTAACCTCCATTCCTGACCAGAGAAACTGGTTGCCAGAAAGGGGAAAATAAAAAAAGTAAAAAAAAAAAAAAGTATTTCTAACCTTACCCTTTTTGCTTAGGCAAACTCTGCAATTATTAGGATTGATCCTATTACATATTAAATCTCTAAGGAAGGTACTAAGTTGAAACAATCACAAAGATGGAATGACTTAGGGTTTCCAGCCTTGAAAAACAGATAAAGGTACTACACTGCCTTCATCCATACTATATATACATCTTGAACTCTCCCACTGAGTTTATGAAGCCATCTACATGAGCTTTCTACACAGAACAGTCCAAGTATTTTTTTAAAGTTTACTTTCTGGAGCATTCATTTTGTGATTAAACGGCTCTCGAGAGGTTGCAAGCCTCGTAATGGCATTAACACTGCGTGACACACAGAAAAGAGGAATTAATTTGACATAATCATGGCTTAAAGAAAATAAAGACAACCTCATGTGAAAAGCTAAACTGCGTATCTAAAAAGCAAAGTGTTAAGTGAGAATAAGATGAGAATAGAATTCAGTATTTTGTTCTATTGTAGCTTTTTTAAATATAACCTTCACCTTCCCTTAATCTGAAGAACAGACTTGCTTTGAAATATTTAAATTAAAAACTTCTTAAAGTGGGATTTCAAGGCCTGTTAAATTTGAGTTTCTGCTTTTTAAAATGAAAACAACCTTGATCATTATGTTGTTTTAGAAGTATGTCGTTCATATGCTTAGAAAAGTTGCGTTTTCCTTTTTTTAAACTGCAGATTAAACAAATACATTTAAAAACAGCAATGGCTTTCTGGGCTTTTTTCCATGTAGAAAGTGTAATAGCACCTTGTACAGGTTCAAGAACTGTCTGGAGAGGAAAACAAGGGGATCACCAAGTGAAACACTGAAGGCAAAGAGATGGAAATGTGACTCTATACAAGCTAAACTGTTGCTCTCTTTTGCATATAAGGCCATCTTGAAGCAATCCATGATCTGCTTCTCCCTGTGTCCCCCCCAGGTTTTTACCTGCTGGAGAGTAGTGTAGGTGAAAGAGACCTGGGGGTCCTGGTAGACAGGAGGATGACCATGAGCCAGCAATGTGCCCTTGTGGCCAAGAAGGCCAATGGCATCCTGGGGTGTATTAGAAAGGGTGTGGTTAGTAGGTCAAGAGAGGTTCTCCTCCCCCTCTATTCTGCATTGGTGAGGCCACATCTGGAGTATTGTGTCCAGTTCTGGGCCCCTCAGTTCAAAAAGGACAGGGAACTGCTCGAAAGAGTCCAGCGCAGAGCTACGAAGATGATTAAGGGAGTGGAACATCTCCCTTATGAGGAAAGGCTGAGGGAGCTGGGTCTCTTTAGCTTGGCGAAAAGGAGACTGAGGGGTGACCTCATCAATGTTTACAAATATGTAAGGGGTGAGTGTCAGGGAGATGGAGTTAGGCTTTTCTCAGTGATGACGAGTGATAGGACAAGGGGTAATGGGTGCAAATTGGAGCATAGGAGGTTCAAGGTGAATATCCAAAAAAGTTTTTTGTTTTTTTACTGTGAGAGTGACAGAGCACTGGAACAGGCTGCCCAGGGAGGTTGTGGAATCTCCTTCACTGAAGACATTCAAAACCCACCTGGATGCGTTCCTGTGTGATGTACTCTAGGTGACCCTGCTCTGGCAGGGGGGTTAGACTAGAGGATCTTTCGAGGTCCCTTCCAACCCCTAGGATTCTGTGATTCTATGTTTTCCATGTCTACACATTCTTAAAAGTAACTCTTCCTAAACAAAAGCTAGCATCAGCTGCTTTCTATAGGCAGTCACAAAGCACAGAATCACAGAATCATAGAATGGTTAAGGTTGGAAAGGACCTTAAAGATCATCAAGTTCCAACCCCCCTGCCATAAGCAGGGAACCCTACCACTAGGACAGGCTGCACAAAACTTCATCCAACCTGGCCATAAAACCTCCAGGGATGGGGCATCAACAACATCCCTGGGCAACCCATTCCTGTTCCTCACCACTCTTATAGTGAAGAATTTCTTCCTAAGATCTGACCTAAATCTCCCCTTTCTCAGTTTAAAACCATTACCCCTTGTCCTATCACCATCTTCTCTGATGAAAAGCCCCTCCCCAGCTTTCCTGTAGCCCCTTCAAGTAGTGGAAGGCTTCTATAAGGTCTCCCCAGAGCCTCCTCTTCTCTAGGCTGAACAGCCCCAACTCTCTCAGCCTGTCTTCATGGCAGAGGTGCTCCAGGCCTTTGATCATCTTGGTGGCCCTTCTCTGGACCCTCTCCCAACAGGTCCATGTCTTTCTTGTGCTGAGGGCACCAGAACTGTATAGAAGAAGTAAAAAAAGGATCCTACTCATGGAGATGTTGAGCTGTCAAATCCAGCACGTATGCCTTCAGAACTCCTCAGTACACACCCTGCCAAGAAAGGAGCAGCTATCAGAAGAGCAGCAGATACACTGCAGTATCTGTGACTAATTAATTGCTGGAACTACAATACTGCCTAAGCAAAACAGAGAGGGCACAAGTTATCAATTTCCAAAAGACATGCAAAAAAATGCCACCCCCAACTCATGCTTCAGAAGTAAGCAAATTCGTATTTACTGATACATCATATTCAAAGGAAAAAAAAATAGTAAAAATCTCTTGCTGTGGCAAGGCTGAAAAATTTTATGTAAGCTCAACATCTAATTTAGAAGGAAACATTCCAAGGCAACATCGGAATAGCAATAAAACCAATGATCCAACAGTATGAAAAGATGTAGCAATATTCCCCCCAGCAGTGGCTCAGACTACAGTCTTATCTATCCACAGTGACCCTGCTCACTGTTGTACAGCATTTACAACCTATGTTGAAGACAGTTTTCCAGTGCCACCACATGCAGGGGAGCTGGAACTAGATGATCTTTAAGGCCCCTTCCAACCTAAGCCATTCTGATTCTACAAACATGTCTACATTTGGAGGGGGTGGGAAGAGGGCGGGGAGGGATGTTCCTTGAATCTGCACTTGCAGAAACCATTTCAAAACCTTCCCTCAGGGAAACCTTCCCTTCAGGGAAAAAGAGCACAATGAGCTTACCACCAGTGGTGTTTTCCACCACAGGTAGGTGTATGTTAGACACTATAATTCTATTAGCTTTAAAACTTAATTACCCATGTGATTGTATAATAGGAGGACTAGAATGGCAGGGCATATGGGAGCATAAAAAGGGGATAAATTAAGGCTGGTGGAAAAGAGCAGGAAAACAGGCAAGAAAGCCACAGGATTGAAAGACTCAGAGCTAGAGATGGGAAGGCAGGAGTCACTTTTCTGTGTCTGCAGCTCCCCTTTTCCTTGCTTACAAGAAATGAATCTGAATCATAGAATCATTTTGGTTGGAAAAGACCTCAAAGATCAAGTGCCACCTTTAACCCTACTCTACAATGTGTACCCCTAAGCCATATCCCCAAACACTACATCTATGTGACTTTAAACACATCCAAGGATGGTGACTCAATCACCACTCTGGGCAGCCTGTTCCAATTCCTGACAACCTTGAGAAAATTTTTTTTCCTAATGTTCAGCCTAAACCTCCCCTGGTGTAGCTTTAGGCTATTCCCTCTTGTCCTATCACTATTTACTTGTGAGAAGAGACCAGCATCTACCTCTCTACAATGTCCTTTCTGGTAGTTAATTGAAGACAGCAATAAGGTCCCTCAGCCTCCTTTTCTTTAGACTAAACAGCCCCAGTTCCCTCAGCTGCTCTTCGTAAGTCTTGTTCTCTCGACCTTTCACCAGCCTGGTTGCTCTTCTCTCTACCGGCTCCAGCACCTTGATCTCTTTCTTGTATTGAGGGGCCCTAAAGTGAACACAATACTCGAGGTAGGGCCTCACCAATGCTGAGTACAGGGGCATGATCACTTCCCTAGACCTGCCTGCTGCACTATTTCTAGTACAAGCCAGGATGCCACCGGTCTTCTTGGTCACCTGGGCACACTGCTGGCTCATGTTCAGTAACTTGCTGATCAGCACCCCGAGGTCCCTTTCCACCAGACAACTTTCCAGCCACTCTTCCCTCAGCCTTGTTGCATTGCATGGGGTTGTTGTGACGCAACACTTGGCCTTTTGTCTTTTTTAATATGGGATCATCCTCCACTTGGATCTATAACGAGAAAGAAGCTGCTGGGAGGTGTGGAAGGGAAGATGGAATCTGTTTTCTGTCTCCCGTGCATCACTACACCCCTACTGCAGCCCAAATAAATTCCAAAAACAGTTTTGGTGTAGAACAGACTTGTCTCATGCTGGAGGGGAAGATGGAGAGAAGCCTAAAACTACAGTTGGCAAAGAACAAATTGTTGATTACCACATTAAGGTGGACAGAATCTCTGCTCAGAAAGAACATGAGTTAGGCTGAACCAGGAGCGCCACCATCTTCTGCTTCTAAGAGGCTCAACCCATCTTTCAAAGCACTGCATGTATACCAAAGACGAGAAGCAGCCTTAAGCTACAGCAGACAGGCATCTTCTATAAGTCTCAGAGCAGAAGCAGAGTAATCCCATCTGTGGTATTAAATGGAAAAGCTACTGTTATCCCTTGCTGTCCTGCTCCCCTATTTGCAACAGGACTGCAAACCAAGATTGCTGAGGCAAAACTGCCTGGCTCTTCTGGACTGTACTATCTACAGATGGCCAAAAGGTTTTTAAAAAAAATCTCAAGAGAAGCTTGAACACAACTAAAACATCATCAACACTGTCCTTGCAAGCAGGTCACTGTCTCCAGACAACTCATTGCCAGTGCTGCAACAAATTCCACTCACCTTCTCCAGTCCTGAAGGAAATTCCCTTTGTCACCAATGTCCTTCACAGCCTATATGCAACCTCCAAGCTCCCCAAGATCTTTTGCTTCCCTTGGGCTTCTGGAACCATCTTGTATATGTGTTTTGCCAAGAAAAAAGCCCATACTGTTCACAAAGCCCCTTCCTCTACTTTACAAGGAGTTTTTACCTATTGCTTTAATCTGATCCCCTCCCCATAATACAACAAGAGGCAACGAGAGTTGCCATTACCAGCTCACCTGATAATTTTAGGGTGAAATATATACATACAGATTATCTGCCTGTGCCCAGAAACACACTGGAATTATGTTCAGACCTGCAAACTTTGCCCACAGGATTGAGATGGACAGGGAGGTCTAGCACTTGATCGCTACAAGTTTTAGCCCGAAGCCAAATCATTATACTTGCATTACATATGCCTCAAGAGTATGTAAGTAGCAATGCATTTTATTTCACTTTTTGCCTTCCGCTAAGTGAATTGAATCCCAAAGCAGTGAAACAGTACCCACTTAACAGCAGAATATATTGTGCTCATCTGACAAAATATTCCCATTGCCTTTTTGTGAGTTAAAGTAGACAGAGGAACTCCTCCTGTGTTCTCTTCAGTCAGTAAGACCAACTTGATTGGCAGAAAACATCCTCACATTACTTGTTCATTTCTATTTCAGAGATTTTTATCTAGGCTTTTCCCAAAGCAAGTCTTTGCTAAGCACTGTTAAGTGCTCTGAATTACACTTAAAAAGCCAGGCTGGCCAGAAGACAAGAACCCAATTTTGTGACAAAGTGAAGCGCTCTGACATTTGTTTTCCTTCTACATTAGAAAGGAAGAAATGCCTTTCAGAGCATAAATAAAAAGCAGTAAAGCATACATCGAGTCAACTTCAGTGTTGGAGTCCCATATAAATGGCAAATGCTCTAGATATTGAGGAACCAGCTACTCAGAACTCTCTGAAGGGCAAGAAATTCCCCACTGAAGCTAACAAATCTTCAAGGAAATATACCACCAGTATACTCTTTGAGAAGGTCTTCCAAGTAGGAAAAACGGCTCACTAAGAGTCAAAAGGTAAGACACATACAAAACCTTTCCTAAATCCAATCCATCTCCCATCATAATATTCAAAGACCAGGATAACACTCACTTCTGAAAGTCATCAGATCCGAGCTTTGGAAAACATTAATAAATTCTGAAGCCAAAAGTCATTCAAAAAGAAATCACCACCCAGCTCCAACTATAGATGATCTGAGCACATCAAGATCCTGTAGTTATGTCAAGACTGCAGTCAGAGAGTCTACAAGTAACGAGTATGACACTCTGTTCATAGCTATGGCATACCTCCAAAACCAAGATTTTTTTTTTGGGGGGGGTGATATTTTAAGATCTCAGTACCTACTGCACGGGCACATTACCAGTACTAGGAAAAAAACCCAACACTGCACTTCCACAGCATCACTGCAAAACCTAGATTCTTGGTCCTCAGGAGGAACAGCATATACCCTTTCTTCATCCTCCTTATTTTTTCATCTTTTGTATTTATTGCTGTTCCAGCTACAGACTTCACTTCTCCTATTAAAACACCTATTCTAATAGCCCTTGTCTTTTAACAAACTCCTACATTTCTTGCTGTATTAAAAGAACACATCAAATACAAACAAAACAGGCAAAATAACAATCTGAAAAGTCTACATTACTGGAATGCAAGGAAAAGTAGCAAATTTAAAGCAACATCTGATGGTTAGCAAGGAATGAAGTGCATTTCCAGGGGCTGCCAATATTTGCAACTCATGAGGTTTTCTACAGTCTTAGAACATTCTGGTATATCTGAATTCCCAAGAGACAGTGACACATGGACTACGTGTTTACCACAACTTACTAAGTTCATATTCTCTTCACAGAATGAAAGAATGGTTGAGGTGGGAGGTCATCCTGTCCAACCCTCTGCTCATGCAGAGCCACCTAGACCCAGCTGCCCAAGACCATGTCCAGACAGCTTTTGACCTTACAGTGGCCTTCCAGTACCTGAAGATACCAGAGAGGTACCAGAGAGAGGTATCATTACCAAAGAGGGTAGCAATAGGACGAGGGGTAATGGTTTTAAACTGAAAGAGGGGAGATTTAGGTTAGACATCAGAAATAAACTCTTCACCATGAGGGTAGTAAGGCACTGGAATACTTTGCCCAAGGAGGTTGTTTAAGGCCCCTCCTTGGAGGTGTTTAAGGCCAGGCTGGATGAGGATTTGCATAGCCTGGTCTAGTGGTAGGGTTCCCTGCTCATAGCAGGGAGGTTTGAACCTGATGATCTTTACAGTCCCTTCCAACCTTAACTATTCTATGATTCTATGAATGCAGAAGTTAGAGGACCCATTTTTCTGCAGAAATTTCTAGCCACCACTGACTGTCTGCAGTTCAGACTATCATCCAAGTGGGAGGACTCCACAAGCATCAAGAACAGAAATACCATCCTCTTCACTGGATTTAAGTTTTGCCCTATGCACGTCAGCTTTTTTAGCAGTGTATTCACATCCTTACCTATAAGCTTTAAGCAATTACCCCATCAAAAAGGAAGATTACTAAAAACGAAATGAAGCAGCTTCCGTATAGAAAAATTTATATTTACAGTTTTATTTAGCAGAGTTAAAGAGCAAACAATTTTAACACTGTTGTTTAAAAGTGTTTTACCCCAAAGTTGCCAAGATGTAATAAGTTATTGAACAGAAATATGGGGCGTAAGGCAATAACCCTGACCAGCCCATTACAGATCACCCTATCCCCAAAGAGCAGAGCTGATAAAGGTGGTAGAAAATTTAGACTGATTGACTCAATTTCCAAACATTAGACAGAGATGATAAAAACAGGGCTCCACTCCGAAGAATATCTTTAACATCTGCAGAGGAAGGAATTTCTAAAGCACGCAAAATATAAGGACAAATTCCTGTTTCCAAGGGAACATTCAGTGCTTTGAATCCAAGAATGCTATGTCCATACACAGTGGTCAGTACATGACTATGGCAACACATAGATGGTAAAAGATTAAGAATAGGATTAGAATTTTTTCCATTCCACATCATCAGGAGGGTTTACTTCTACCTTCCTTTTACCAACATCAGACCAGTTGGTGCTCAGAACTGTGCCTCCAGACTCCATCTGCAACATAAGAGAAAGCTTGTTTAGCTTGCTAGAGGGACCCTAGTAATATGAAAACTACAACTCTTAGAGCAGATTAAGAAATTCTGAAGAATGGTGAAGAATTTAAGCTTCATGTGGCAAGATGTTACACAGGAATTCTGTGTACATAAAAAACAATATTTGACAAAGCCATCATTAAATAATCTTCAGCCCAACAGTGCTTTTATCAGTACTGGACACAATGGGATGTTGCTTCATTAACAAGAAGTTTTTGAAGGGTCAGTCACATTCTTGTCTCTGAGGACTTCAAACTGAAGAACTAGATATAAACAACTAAGAGGAATTTGATCCTTTTTACCCATAACAAGTCTTCAAACTCCCTAAGTACCAAAAACTGCATTCCCTTGGATAACACTGATGGAAACAAAGAGACCGGTGACAAAGCACAACCTTGGACTTAAGAGTCACATTCATTAGTGTACATATTGTACAACTACATTGTAGCTTTCAGCAAGACTTGTCCTACCAGTATCTCTACTAGAACTACTGCCATTCCTTATAAGCCCAAGGTTCTAGTAGCTAGAGGCCTCCTAATTCACACCCAGTTTAGTAAATTGTGTCAGTGTTCAAAAGTTATTCATTTGTTCAGAGAAAGAGTGAAGACTTACAAATGACTTGTTCATGGCACGTTTCACTTCATCTGTACCATCTGAATAAATTTGCTGGAAGAGTTTATTTAAAGCAGCATCTCCTTCTAACTTCTCATTCTTCTCCTCTTCCTTGATTTCAACTACCAGCTTGTCCCAGTTCCTCGTATAGTGAGAGGATGATGGATATAAGTGCTGGGTATCTGAAAACAGAACTGTTAGTTAACTAAGATCTTCTCACAACTTCTAGAGCAGCAGAGGACACATAGACATATATATATCCAATGAATCAGAGATTATAATGGAACAGGAATATGAAAATGCAAATGGCTTCCTCTTTATGGATCCAAGCATTGCAGTAAAAAAACATACAGGAAGCTAAGAAGCAACTGCCAAAGTTGACATTGCAGTAAACAGTTACATAATGTAGTTATCCAACAAAAAATGGTGGATAACAGCAACACAAATAATTGAAGTTAAAACAAGGCAGGATACACTGGCTGACAGTAAGAAAAAAAGAAGCCAACAGACTAGAACAACAGGAAAATTTGAGCTACATATCTTCAATAAATAAATAAGGAAATTCAAATTCTCTTGAAGACATAATTGTTAATCTATTTGAAAAATTCCAAAAGTATTGCATTCCAAGAGTGATGGAATTCTTAAGTAAACAATACTTAATGATTTAAGCAACAATAGAGGCATAATGGCAGGTTTTTATAATGGTTGGACTCCATGATCTTAAAGGTTTTTTCCAACCAGAACGATTCTATTATTACCATACCTAGAACTGCAAAACAGTGACCAAAAGAGACAGACAGAGAGCCCCAAAAGACTTTATTCAACACAAAAAAGTAGTAACTGCAAGTAACTTCATACAAATGGATATTTAATACTTAATAGTTCAGAAAACAAACCTGGTGTAAATTGCTTTAACTTAGAAGAATCTCCCTGGCCCTCCAGCTTTTCCCATCTTACAGCCTCTGGCTTTTTCATTTTTATTTCAACCTGCAAAACAAAAGACAAAGAAAAGTAATCTTGATGGCAAAGAGTTCCGCCAAATTGTTTGAAAGTAGCTGGATCCTGTAGCAGCAAGAATATAAATACATTTGTTTTTAGAAACAGTCTCTGAAGTGAAGCCTGTATTTTACTAAAAATTATCTACCTTACAAGATGAAGGTGCATAACTTCAGGTCACACATCAACTAAGCTCTTAAGCATCTGCGTAGCTCTTGTATCAGACATTTACCATTTTGTTTAGTACCACCTCAATTTCTTTTGCTTTCCATTCACTTGATTCTTTCTGTAAATTATATAGTATCACAAAAGTAAGGATCAGTCCCAATGTCTCTACGCTGCCAGGCACCAGGGTATTATCTTTCAAGCACCCCATTCTTGCCAGTCAGCTCTATTAAGTCTGAAGGCCTGCAAAATTCAACTTTATCTAGGTTTACATTTCATCCACCAAAAAATTTCCTATTAGACGCGTAGTACAAAAACCAGAGAAACACCCTGGGACTATGGCTTCACTAAGGGCAAGTCATGCCTGACCAGTTTGGTGGCCTTCTAAACAAGGCTACAGAGATGATGGATGTGGCAGAGCAACTAATGTCATCTACCTGGATTTGTGCAAAGCATTTGACACTGTCCCACATGACATCCTGGTCTCCAAACTGACAAGGCATGGATTTGACAGATGGACCACTCGGTGGATAATAAATTGGCTGGATGGTCACACCCAGAGAGTTGTGATCAATGGCTCAAAGTCCAAATGGAGGCAGGTGATGAGTGGTGTCACCCAGGGGTCAGTATTGGGACCAGTGCTGTTCAACATCTTGGTTGGAGACACGGACAGTGGGATTGAGTGTATCCTCAGCAAGTTTGCTGGTGATACCAAGCTGTGTGGTGTGGTTGACACCCTACAAGGAAGGGAGGCCATCCAGAGGGACCTTGACAGGCTGGAGAGGTGGGCCAATGACAACCTCATGAAGTTCAACAAGGCCAAGTACAGGGTCCTGCACCTGGTTGGCACAACCCCAGGCACAAATAGAGGCTAGAGGAAGAATGGCTGGAGAGCAGTCCTGAGGAGAAGGACTTGGGGGTGGTAGTTGAGAAGGCTGACATGAGCCACCAGTGTGTGCTGGAGCCCAGAGAGCAACTGCATCCTGGGCTGCATCAAAAGAAGTATGGCCAGCTGGGCCAGGGCGGTGATTCTGCCCCTCTACTCTGCTCTGGTGAGACCCCACCTAGAGTAATGTGTACAGTTCTGGTGCCCTCAGCACAAGAAAGATAAAGACCTGTTGGAAAGGGTCCAGAGAAGGGCCACCAAGATGATCAGAGGCCTGGAGCACCTCTGCCATGAAGACAGGTTGAGAGAGTTGGGCTGTTCAGCCTAGACAAAAGAAGGCTCTGGAGAGACCTTAGAGCAGCCTTCCAGTACTTGAAGGGGCTACAGGAAAGCTGGGGAGGGGCTTTTCGCCAGAGAAGATGGTGATAGGACAAGGGATAATGGTTTTAAACTCAGAGAGGGGAGATTTAGGTCAGATCTTAGGAACAAATTCTTCACTATAAGGGTGGTGAGGAACAGGAATGGGTTGCCCCGGAGGCTGTTGATGCCCCATCCCTGGAGGTTTTTAAGGCCAGGTTGGACGAGGTTTTGTGCAGCCTGTCTAGTGGTAGGGTTCCCTGCTCATGGCAGGGGGGTTGGAACTTGATCTTTAAGATCCCTTCCAGCCTTAATGATTCTATGATTCTATGCAGATCTTCCCACTGGAAACATTCAGATGCTGTATGCATTTGGTCAAATGAACACACATTGCTACAGAGAAAACTGTCAAGAAGCAATTGACAAAACTGGCAATTAAAAATTGATACAGTTGCAATTATCATAGGAGAAACAAAATTAAATGCCATACATGTCATGCCCCATTCACAACTACACATAATCCCTTTAGCCAACCACACTGAAAAGTTTTTTTCAGAATTAACCTTAACCTTTCACTACAGGGTTACAAAGTTGCAAAAGAATATGTGCAAAACAGGAACTTCATAATATCACTCCAAATGACAAATTCACTTAAAAACATCACAAAGTTCAGTTCTTGCTAAACTTCAGCAGTTCCTTATTTGTGAAGGGCTCAGCAGAAGCACATTCTTAGTTCTACCTAAAGCCACTGTAACCTGGGGATCCCTACAGACCCAAGAACAAAGGCACGACTGTAAAAGCTAACCCTAGAAATCCTAATGGCAAGCTCCTTTCACAGCTTCACGGTGGTCTGAAATTTGAACTTTATTGAATAAATTCTTCAAATCAGTCACTGGTAAGCAACAAAATACCTTATAAAATTAAAGAAATTAGCTCATTTAAGGTTCAAAGCTTCTATGTGCAACCATGCTGCATTTTAGGAATCAGAATATTCAATTATGATTGCCTCAGTTGCTTCCCCCCACCCCTCTTCCCCTGGGGAAGTTACCATTTCCTTAGATGAGTTTGAATACTTATTTTCCACCATTAACTTGTACTATCTGAGAGCAACAAAAATATTTTTAAGACATGAGTTATGGAATTCCCTTCAAGGCAGGGGAGAGTTTCAGTAGGTTTTAAATCCAGTACCCACAGGTATTTGACTTCCCACTCCCCATGTCTTTTGGATTTCCACTGTTTTTAGCAACTTTACAAGTCACAAATTCTGCATCAGGGTGTCAGCTTCTAAAATAGTGAAAGTCACGAAACCAGAAATAACCAAATAAAAATAAAATACCATATTAATCTAGTTGCTCAATCTACTGTCCCTAAAGAAGGCCTTTATTCCAGAGCTTAATATTGAAATCTGAGAGGATGCAGAGATTTCTGTTTGCAGAAGATGCATTCAAACTGTGAAAACTTCTTCAGCAAAACTAAGTCAGTCAGTAGTAGTAGAAGTTCCTTCACTGGACTCTTCTAAAACATTCTGAAAACTACAACCTTAAAGTTAAAAACATAACACCTACAGTCATAAATCAAATGTTCTGCGATTAGCTTAAAGAAGCTAAAATATTTGTTGATGTACATGTAAGACAAACAAGTAGTTCCACCAGTGCCAGAACTAGCAGGTTGCTTTTTTCCCCAATGAATTTGGATCTCCTGAGTCAAACATTTAAGTTAATTAACCACTTACAAAGGCACTAATTAGTTACAAGTGAAACGCTGAGTATTACTTTAAAAAAACCTTGTCTCTCCCTTGCTTCCTATCTAACTCTTCTCAACCTGAGGAAACTATTATCAAGTCAGCTTCACGTTTAAGTAGATGTCATTTTTAAGATTTTATACTCTGCTTTTTAGTGCATTCCCTCACATTCTATTAAAAAAAATAAAACAAAAGAAAGATTAAGTGCTCAACCCTATGCCTCTTCAGTTTTTCTTCTGTTTGTTTCTTCCTTCTCTATCTCCTCTTACACTTCAGGCTTTTCGGTATCTTGCAGTATCTCAAATACAGACTATTTAATTCATACGAAAAATTACCTCTAATGCAAAACAATGCTAGATTTGAACTACTAAACATGGACCTTTTTCTTCTCAGAATACAACTCTCCCCCCCAAAAAAAAACCTTACAAAGACTTTTGGCTATTCTTCAGAGTACTCCGTCCATGCATAAAAAGGAGAAAAAAAAAAGATCTTTACTTTTACTGCTCCAGTAAACACTCTCTCCTTTTAAAATCTGCTAGTTCTTACACTTTCCTCTCTGGAACTGTTCCTAAGCTGCTGCTACACACGACAAACATCCTCAAGGAAAAGAAAATGCCACAAACTAATTCCCAGAGTAAGATGCAGATTTCTCAACTCTAAACCATTTCAACTCTGCCAAGCTAGAAGTACAGACAGCTGAAAAACAGAAAGTATTTATGACATGATTAAAACTCTACTCCCATCTACTCCGTCCACTTCCATTGAAGTTACTCATTAGGCAAAGTGGCAGGCAGCAGGAAAACTAGGGAAATCATTAGCTGGTTACCATTATACAACCACATTTTCCAAAAATATAAAGCTATATAGTTCTGTTTGTGAAGGCACATATTTCTTCAGCTTGAGAGCTTCATTTGATCTAAGGAGAAACAACTTTTTGAGTCCCAATTACGTGCTGCATTTTAATGACCATACTGATAGCTATCATGCAGACAAGTAACACAGAAGTATGGACATTTGTGTTGTATCTAACACACAAATACTGTTAGCTTTTTCCTCTCCTTTGAAAAAAATTCAGCAGTCAGGCAAGAGAAATACATCAACACTTCACCAACTACTTTGATTTAACATTCATATTTCATAAAATGTGTGCCTTGTGCCAACTTTAGAATAAAAGACAGGAAAATTTCATTGCAAATTAAATGTTTTGCATGCCTCTTAAGGACAAGTCTAATTCCTCAGCCTCTCCTTGTAGCTGTGCAGACAACTGACCATCTTTTAGGGCTCAACTAGGACACAGTACTCCAGATGTATGAAAAGCTTCAAAGCAGAAATCCTCGAATCACATTAGGAGTTGGAAGGGACCTCTGAATATCGAGTTCAACGCCCCTGTCAGAGCAGGAACACCTAGGGCAGATCACACAGGAACGTGTCCAGATGGGTCTTGAAAGTCTTCAGAGAAGGGAGACTCTACAACCTCTCTGGGCAGCCTGTTCCAGTGCTCTATCACCCTCACAGTAAACAAGTTTTTCCTCATGTTGAAGTGGAACTTCCTGTGTTGTAACTTGGTGCGGTTTCCCCTCATCCCATTACAGAGCACCACTGAAAAGAGATTGGCCCATTCCTGACATCCACCCTTCAGATATTTGTAGGCATTATTTAAAGTCCCCTCTTAGTCTTCTTTTCTCAAGACTAAACAGTCCCAGGTCTCTCAGCCTTTCCGCATAAGACAGGTGTTCCAGTCCCTTCATCATCCTTGTTGCTTCTGTTGGACTCTTTCCAGCATATTGAGCATATCTTGAACTGTAAGTTCAAGAGTGAGTGAATAATAAGTGAATAATTCAC